GAGGGTGGCTGTGGCTCTGCACCCATAGGTACCCCATGAGCTGGGGATGAGGGTGGCTGTGGCTCTGCACCCATAGGTACCCCATGAGCCAGGGATGAGGGTGGCTGTGGATCTGCACCCATAGGTACCCCATGAGCTGGGGATGAGGGTGGCTGTGGATCTGCACCCATAGGTACCCCTTGAGTTGGGGATGAGGGTGTTCCTGTGAAGTGGCTGTGGTACAGGGGTTTTTTTGTTTCCATGTTCCCACTCTGTTGCTTATTTTCTAAGTCTTAGATTCCTTGTCTAAGAGAGCCCTGGGGAGGGCAGATTTAGTGTTGTGTTACATGGCTGGTCTAGCTTCTTGCTCCAACAGTGTGTTTAGTAAATATCTGAATGAGTATGTAATGAGCAGGCTGATCATAGGCACTTTTTGTCTCTACACCCTTTCTCACACATGGCCTTGCTGAAACCTCACACTGACACCATGGAAACTACTCTTATCCCCTTTCACAGATGCAAAGACTGAGGCACAGAGTCTGCGGGTTCTCGCCTGTGGCTCATAGCTGGGCAGGGGTGCAGGTGGTACTTGTGACATTGTCCTCAGTTCCTACACATCTCACTTCTGCCATAGGGGACAGACGTCAAGATCAGTCCAATCCAGTTGCGTGCTCCTGGGAAAAGCCCTCTCCCGCTCCAGGAGACAGTTATCATATAGTCATGCTCATGGGTTCTGAGAGCCAGGAGCCCAGACAGGACAGGAGGGTAGCCTCACTGGGGAGACTCCAAGCTGGCGGCTGGAACCATTGGCCTGGAGGAGCCACAGCCCAACCACCTGTTCCCATGGCATGCCAGGGTGTGTCTGTTTGGAAACCCAGGGCTATGGGGTAAGCTAAGTGATGGAAGCCCAGGACAGGAACAGCAGCCTCACAGTTGAGCCTGTGGTCCAAGACCTGGACTCTCCTGAGGCTGGAAGTTGCATGGGAACAGATGGGCCCTTTGTATAAAGAGACTCCACACATTCTCCCTCATGCCTTCTGCTCTCAGGACTTGGAGAGATTTCTGACCAGTGGGCTGTGGATGGATGTTTTGACCCTCCTCCTAGAACGTCTCCTTTGCAAAAGGCCTTTCATGTAATTGGAGTTGACTGAGCATACTGGGGGGAAAAGACCCTGGTCTTTATTATTGGTACTCTGTGAAGCATACAGTAGGTATTTTGTACTGAGTGGATGGGGCTGACAGATTTGGATGAGTCTCTCTTTTCTGTGAGCAGACTGACAGGGTTGTGTGTACATGCAGGAGATAAAGGTTGTGAAAATTCAGATATGTAGGAGGGAGACGGAAAAACCTGAGTTACTATGGTCTCTACTGAAGGGACGAATTAAAGGAGCTGAAACACAGCGATACAGCTCTTAGTACCTCTACCACACACCCCGCACCAAGCTAGCACGGAGCACCACCACCACCATCACTTTCATTTTTATTGTTAGAATGCACATTTCCAAGTCAGAAGGGTCCCACGGGTTGAATGAAGTTTTCTTTAAACTAGTTGGGATGTTCACAGTCGCCTGGAGTTGGTGTCTGCAGAGTCAGTCACTACGGCTCTCCTGGATGTTGGCTGTTATGTTGAGTCATGTTTCTTTTCTGTGTTTGGAATGGCCTGGGCCTGGGTCTGGAGTCTAGACATCGTGTGCTGCTGTGAATGAAGATCATTCCATTGAAGTCACGGTTCAGTTGGAGATGGGAGGCTTCTCTCCTGGTCTTCCAGCACAGCAAAATGTCCCCAAGTTCAGAGAGAGGGCAGAAAACAGGCCGCCAGTTCCTGATTGAGTCACACCCTCTAGTGGCTGTATGTGGGAATAGCAGGCAGCCCACAATGCCGGTCTGGTGGAGATGGGGACTGAGTAGGTAAATCAGAGCTGGTACAATGGTGTAGGAGGGGCAAAGTGTCACTTTTTGCTACTAGAACATCGTTGAGGGACCAAACAACCTCACCATCCTTCTCCATGACTCCAGAAATGGAGCATTTCTGAACTTTCAAGAGGTGTTCAGGTGATGAGCTCCTGTTGGCATGGAGCATCCCTTATCAGGGAGGTGGGGGAGATGGACCATAAAAACATAGTAGGAGGAAGAAGGGTGCCTGAAGCCCTAGGTTACAGTGGGGGCCATGGGAGGATTATTTAAACCTGAAAACATTAAAAAATATTTTTAAAACACCCAGAGCAACCAGTTAGGAGCAGAATATCAGGTCCCCCACCTCACAGAGCATGGCTAGATAATTGCAGACCAGAGACTTCCCACTCTTGTCCTGTAACAACTATGGGACTTAGAGCCTCCAGTGGCCTAGGGCTTAAGAACCCTAGACAGAACATATCTGTATCTCCATCTATGCACAGACTCAGACCTTTGCGCTGTGGAGTCACAACTGGAGTGGTGGCCCTCAGTCCAGACTCTGGAACTCAGTGTGCCCCCCCCCAACTCAGCATAGAGTAAGTTCCCTTGTCTTATTTGCTTCTCAGCTTGTTCATAATGTATAGGTCTGGGGTGGAACCCCGAAATCTGAAGCTTTAAAAATCCTCTTAAATCTCAGCATGTGGCTGGACCTTCTAGATGTGAGTGATGGGATGAGTCTAGCCTTGCCTCTTCTTCATTCATCAAAAGGAGTGACGGAAATCCCCGAAGGGCAGATGGCTTGGCCCAGACTCACAGTTAACTGCTCACAGGCTGAGTGTACACCAGGGTTATAGTAGCCCAGGTTATGGTCTCGGCTCAGACTGTGCTCTTTCTAGTGGCTTCGGGTTTCTAAGAAGCCAAATAGAGCACAAGTGGGGACCAGGGCTGTAACTAATTCAGGAGGATAAGGGTTTGCTAGGATATGCATCTTCTGTCTCTGGCTGAAGCTCAGGTGAATTCTTTCTTTCTTTCTTTCTTTCTTTCTTTCTTTCTTTCTTTCTTACTTTCTGTCTGTCTGTCTCTCTCTCTGTGGGTGCGTGAGCACACATGTGCATGCCTGTTGTGTACAAGTGTGTAAAGGTCAGAGGATAACCTTAAGTGTTGTTTGTCAGGTGCTGGCTACATTTATTGAGACAAGGTTCCCTACAGACCTGAAGCTGGCCAACAAGCCCCAGGCAGCAGCATTTTTCTGCCTCCCTGGTGTTGAGACCACAAAGACATGCCATTATGCCTAGCTTTTTCCATGTGGGTTCTGGGGCTCAATCTCAGGTCCTATGGTTGCAAGGCAAGTATTTTAATGACAGAGCCCCTGAGACTACATCTTAAGGAGACCTGGGAAGCACTCCAGAGGAAACCCTGTCTGTCCCCATGAACCTTGGCCCCTCTCAACCTGAACTCTCTGGTGAAAGCTGCTCCAGGAAGTTTAGATTCTGCTACTGTGAACTTCTGGGCATGTCCATTTTACACTATCTGATGCCCAATAAGCCCTCATGAGTTTCTTTCTTTTTCTCTTTCCTTAAAAAAAAATAGCTGGGTTCTCAAAATAGGAAATCATTTCAGGGGTGTGAACCTCCACAGAGAAGCAGAGAGCCTGGGCTGGCAATCAGAGGGTCCAGCTGTTCTGAGTGGGACACCTGGGAGGAAGGCAGCTACAGCATCTGGAGTGGTGTTGAGGACTACCTCCTGACAAGTGTAGGGTGAGTGTGAGGGTCACACCTGAGGGGGTGACATTACATCATATGGAATGTCTCTCTTGCCCAGACTGCATCCTTCTCCAGCTATCCTTGGGCTTTAATGCCCAGACTCCTCCCCAGCAATGATGGCAGCTTCTAGGCCAATGGCAGGGGTAAGGACAGACCTGCCAATCAGCTTGGCCTACCTGATGGCTCCTCCCAGGGTCCTTCCTGCCTGGAATTGGGGGAATCCCGGTGAAAGAAAACACTCAGGGTGTCCACATGGGAGGTGGGAAAGTGGGAAGCAATCCCAGCTGCTGACCCAGCAATTTTCCCTACTGCTTCCCCAAACACCCCCAGGGTTCTTCACAGATGCAGTGTGCTCAGTGAAGGCCTTTGCTTCCTCAGCTGTAGGTTTCTCTATGGGTATGATGGGCAGGCAGATAGCCGTGGGGTGAACAGAGTGGGCGGGGCCAGCCGTGGGGTGAACAGAGTGGGCGGGGCCAGCAGTGGGGTGAACAGAGCGGGTGGGGCCAGCTCTAGGCTCCATTTAGCTTCAATAGCTTTTGACATGAGAGACTTATTCCCTCAGGAATAACCGTCCCACCTGATTCTGTGCATGGGTCCCCAAAAGCCTTGTGGGGGGGTTGCGTCAACTGGGAAAGTCATGGGCACTATGAGAGGGAGACCAGAGGGGGTCACTGAGGGTGTGTTGCAGGCACTTCCAAAGGGATGTGTTGGTGGGACTGAGGTCACTGTCTAGCCAAAAGGCCCCTAGTGACTCCTACATCACCATCCTGGACAAGGGGTGCTGGCTGGGCCGCAGGAGATCCTGGAACCCATCCCCAGGGACCTCATCAGAGGCAACAGCTGAGTGTTGCAGAAATGGCCTTGAGGGACTAGACCTGGTGAAGGGCTCACAACTTAGGTTTCAGGGTCTCTCTGGCTAGAAGCTGGGCTCCCAGGACTAGCTAAGGTACATCCATCCTATTCCTCCTAAATTGTAACTCTGTAAAAGTGGGGGGGGCAGGACAGGGTCACAGATCTGGGAAAACTCTGTTTGCTTTGAGGTGTAGAGAGCCACACGGAGGACTTAGGCTCAATCTCCATGTGTGTCTATGTATAGAGCTTGGGGCAGACAGTGAAGAGCAAAAAATAAAGCAGGAGGAAATGGAAAAAAAAAAAAAAAAAAAAAAAAAAAAGGTACATGGAGAGAGGGAAAGGTCCAAAGATGAAACAAGGAAGTAAAGAAGGGGGTGAGGGGAGAGAGGAAAAGGGAGACAGCTAAGTACAGTGGAGAGTAGAAAGGTAAGACGGAGAGAGGGATGAGGACAAAGAGCAGGGCAGGGGGAGAAGGGAGGGGACCACGGCAGAAGTGCACCAAGCCAAGGGCAGCGGCCACATGATGGAGCTGGAGATGGTTGCTGTGAGCCAGGCTACTGCGGCCTGCGAGCCAACTTCCTGTCCTTGCGCTGGCGTCGATCCTTCCTGCTCTTCTGCCTGGGGTTTCTCTCTGTAAGAGAACACAGGTCCAGGGAGGTCCTTAGAGATGAGGGAACCCCAAGTACTCCCAGAAGGTTCAGAACGCTGGACTCAAAATCACCCTGTTTTAATGTGGGGCTGCAGGTGGGATTATTTGGGACGGTCCTCCTCGGTGATTCCTAGGGGGCCCAGAGGACACTGACTTGAGGAGGGAGTGGGTAGATGGAGGTGGAGTGAGGTAACAGCCTGTGTAGACTGAAGGACCACTTGGATTAGCACCTGTCAGGACCTAGGATGGCCTTAAGGGTGGTGTCCCCATGCCTCTCCACACATGTGCCATCTACCTCCTTGTTAATAAGGCTTCCTGCTGGAGACAAAGTCTCTTCTGCACGAATCCCTGTCAATTCCCCAGCTACTTCCAGCAGACTCTGCCCTCACTTGCGGCCCCTCGGTCCGAAACCCTGAGATTTGTGCTGGCAGGAGGACCCAGAGAGACCCAGAGAGTATGGAGAGTAAGTCCATACAATGGAAGCGAAAGCTATCATTTCTATCCCATTTGACAGGCAGGGGAAGAGGTTGGCCTCAGCAGCTCCCTCAGTACAGACGGCTGCAAATCCTAGACCCAGGTCTCAGCTAGACCGCAGTGTGTCCCACTAACCCTGAAATAATACGGCATATGTCTAATGTGAGCACTGGATTAGTCTCTTTTCTCAGATAAGGTGACCAAAGGCTAGCCAGAGGATTAACTTGCTCAGTGGCCTGGAGCTCTTGGAGCCAGTTCTGGCCTCCCTTCAGAGAAGCTCATCTGGGCTGAGGCTGGCTGGGTGACCAGTGGCCAGATGGCAGAGGGAGTGGCCGAGATCCCAGCATGCTATCTTTAGGAGAGCTGAATATCCCCTGTCTGCATTTCCCTGTGCTCCACACTTAGGATCTGCAGGCTCCCTGGGGTATTCATCCCAGCTAGGGGCACTCCTCTGATGACACGAGGATAGACTGAGGTGTGTCTGAGAGCCAGGCCAACCCTAAATTTCCAGTTTATAACATGTCTCCCCACCCAAGCCATTTTCATATGCTCTTTGTTTCACGGCGGTTTCCTGGGAAAATGTGCATCCTTGGAATCGATGACACTATTCAGGGCACTGCTTTCCAAGGACACACAGCAGATAGGGAAAGAACTATTCCTCCAGAGTTAACTGCCCTCACAGAGTCAGGGCCTCAGCATCTCCCTTTGCAGGGCATACTCAGCATCACCCTATAGACCAGGCTGCTACTTTTGGGTCTCCCCACCAAATCTAAATCCTTGGAGACACTGTGCAGGTCACAGGTGAGGATGGCATCTGGGGACATATGAGAATATTACCTGGGAGGTCCTTGTCAGCTTTGAGGGCTGGGATTGGGAGGGATGATTGGTCTTTGTCCATGTCCTTCCCCTATGCCAGCTAGGCTGCTGCCTATGTACACTTCCATTCACCCTCCCACTCACCGGCGCACCCTCCCACTCACCCGCGCACCCTCCCACTCACCCGCGCACCCTCCCACTCACCCGCGCACCCTCCCACTCACCCGCGCACCCTCCCACTCACCGGCGCACCCTCCCACTCACCGGCGCACCCTCCCACTCACCCGCGCACCCTCCCATTCACCCGCGCACCCTCCCACTCACCGGCGCACCCTCCCACTCACCCGCGCACCCTCCCACTCACCCGTGCACCCTCCCACTCACCGGCGCACCCTCCCACTCACCCGCGCACCCTCCCACTCACCCAGCCATGCGCTCGCACGCAGAACTTACCCATCCACCGACCCTCTCTCCCTTGTGCCCTCCCACCCATGCAGCCACCCACCCATCTACCCAGTTATCTAACTCTCTACTTACCCACCCACTCAACTTCTCACCCTCGCATTCATCTTCTCACTCACACAGCTACCCACCTAGCCACTCACCCACCCACCCACCTCTCGTCCCTCCACCCACGCACCTACTCATCCCATGCAGTCAACTCCGGGCCCTGTTCCAGCACTAGAGACAGCCTTGACCTCCAGAGACTCACTACACACAAGTGCAGGAGGAACAGGGCTTTCCCCTAGAGGTGTCAGTGCTATGATGTGACGTGACAGGAGCTCAGAAAAGCGGAGTGGAAAAGGCCCCTGGGCTGAGGTGTATATGAGGAGGCCTTGCAGGCTTGCGCGAACTCATGCACTACGCATATGCCCCTCTCAGCAATCACCACAGAGTGTCCCAACTGTGTGTCCTGTGTCCTGGCTCCAGGACTTTTACTGTTGGCTATGACTAAGATTCTTCTTTCCCCACTGATCAATGTTGGGCCTCTAGGTCCACCTACTCCTGGCAATGTGACCCTGAGGCCGGGGACTCAAGCTCTGTGGGCCTCGATCTCTTAAGATGGGATAAATAACTATGCCTTCGTCATAGGCATTGTGCAGATCAAATGATCCAGTGACTATTGAGAATTTTATACACCATGTCCTTGTGCTTAACATTGCTTTGTCACAACCCCCTCTATAGGGGTTCTTAGTGTCTCCACTAGAAATCTGCGGTCTTACCTGCCCCAGTGGAAGGGGTTCTTGCGGTATTTAGTGGGGTGGTATAGGCATAGCCCCCCATTCTACTGTTGCATAGTTGACAGCATCATCTCTGCTCATATGTGCCTAGGATTTTAGAGTGTTCCATTCAAATCACTATGGCAACCTTAGCTCTGCATTCCTGGGACCTGTGTTTCTCAGCATCACTTCACTTCTCTTTTGTATTACAGTATGGACACTGCGACGCCCTGTACCCACAGTCCCCACTTCCCAGGAACTCTACTAGAAACAGCAGACCTTTCCAAAAGCCTTATGGCATGGGGGTCTGGGTACTGCAAATCCGTCCTCCTACTGTATCTGGGACCCTTCTGTGTAAGTACCCCACAGGGTGATGCTTAGCTCACAGGAAGGGCTGGCAGGCAGGGGTCTTTCAGGTGACCACGCAAATGCAATCCGTGGGAAGAAGGCTCTATATCCCTGGACACTAGAAATCACCAACTTTTTCTTCCCAGTGCAGCCCTGTAGACTTAGTACTCACCTCCTGGGCAGAGCCTCTTTATAGGACATTTCCTTGACTCAGATAACACTCGGCATTTGGCTGTCTCCTCCTGCTTGGCTGGGCCAGCCTCCCGCACCCGGGTCTCCAGGCCCCAGCCTGAGCCACAGGTCTTCCCATTGTGTATGCAGGGACTCCAGCCGCCCCATGGGCTTGGCTCACACTCCTCTATGGGCAAAGGGAGAGACAGACAGGCGAGTCAGTTGGTAGTATGTGCCTTGGATTCAAGGAATAGGATCTCTACCTGCAAGGGACTCAGTCTACTGCCGGCAACAGAGAATACAGAGACTTCTATGTGCAGGAGCCTGCAAAGAGCTCTATGAAGGCTGTGCTAGGAGCCAGAGTGGGCTCCTGCCAGCAAAGCAGAAGGCTTCACAGAGGAGGTAACAAAGCTGAATTAAGCTTCACTGGCCAGCAGGATCTGAGAGGTCAAGTGGCTGGAATTCAGAAAGGTTCAGTAACAGACACAGAGGTAGCTGGCTGCCAAAAGGTCCTCAGGATCAGTGTTCCAGCTTTGAACTTGACCATAAGACTTTGGTCAACTGGAGAAGGTCAAAGCCACCCAGTACTGTTGTGAGAGATGATGAGGTGATGGACAGAAAGTTCTCAAAAGAGGGAATTTCAGAGCCATTCCATCAATTGCTGAGTATGAGGCAGCACCCAGCTCAGTGGACAGTGAGTATCCCACCTTGCAGTCTTAGGTGCTGAGGCCTGGAGCAGGAACAGGAGTACACAGCAGGGTGGGAACAGGTAGCTATGCGGTCACCCACCACCTGACAAGTCAAGACTGAGCATCTATTGTGAGACCCAGAGCTGCAGGTACAGAAGGGTAACTGCACATAAGAGACACCTGCCTGCCTCCCAGAATGCACCTGCCTGCCTCCCAGAACACACTGTGTGGGGTTACTGCACCAAGAAGGCAGGGGCGCTTTGTGTAGTTCTGGAGGGCACAGAAGCTATGGGAGCCCAGATGAGGAATGGGCCACACCCTTAGGTCCAGGAAGCCTTCTTGGAGGACTCTGTGGTACCAAGTATCCAGTGGGGTGGGAAGGAGAGGTAGGAGGTGCTTCCAGTGAATGGAAACCCCACAAAGTCCCCAAGATGCTGACCTATGATAGGCAGGCCCAGCCTGGAAGAGAAGGAAGATGTTGGAAGAGGTCCCAGATGGGAATCTGATTGTCCAGGGCTCTGCCAGAGGCTAATAGGAGCCACAGAAAGGCCTCGAGCAGCATAGACATTTTGCAGATTGCTGTCTTATATTTTCTGGCCACAGATAGGAGTGCAGGCTCAGAGATATACCCAGAGGGCCACACCAAAGAAGAAAGATGTAGGGAGTGATTGATGGGGTGGACCTACTTCAGAATTCCTCTCAAAGATTCTGCACCTAGCAGAACTGCAAGTCCCTTCTGTCTCCCACCCTTAATGGTCCATCAGTTTCTCTCAGGGGTGGGGTTACAGAGAGCACCCACTGTGCCTGGCTTTTATGCAGGTGCTTGGAATCTGCCCTTTCCTTATGTAGTTACTTCTTTAAAATCTTCAGAGATGCCCTGGGGCACAGATGAAGTGACTTACTGAGAAGCCATGGTTAACATTGTCCCTTGTTGCCCTCCTGGTGAGAACACCGTTGGTGACAACAGTTGGTGGTACAGAATCCAGGATCCTGATGGTTACAGTGGATTAGATCCCAGAAGATTTTTCTGTATGCCAGCATGGGGCTGTGCTGCCCATCACCCCATAACATTTCATTGACTGTTTCCAGGTCTCCCGACCTCTTCCCAGGCCAGAGCAGGTGGCCAGGGTCTTACTCACCCTGGCATTCCTGGGTACTCTGGTGGGTCAAGGTGCCTGGAGGACAGGTGGGCAGGCACTTCCCTTTGTATAGATGAAACCGCCGTTTGCACCGGATACAGAAGTCCTGGCTGAAACAGCTCTCGCATGTGGCCCCACATTCTGCAACAGAGCCATGGACACCATCAGTCATGGGTCTGCCTGAGGTGGGAGGCCTCTGTGTAGGTCACTGGGGTCACTGGGGTCTGGATTCAGTATCTTCTCAGCAGCAAAGACTTGGAAATTGATGAGCTGGGCTGCATATGAGGAGGCCTGCCTTTTTCATCTAAGCTGAGGTTGAGTAGGGGAAGTGAGTGATACACTAGACATCACGTAGCCAATCTGGGCCAGGAGTGAAGCGCCCCCACCCTTTACCCACAGGACTCAGAGATCAGTGATGATTTGTCCTGAGTCACAGGGAAAATGGAGGAAAGGTCAGGCCTACTTTTCCTACAGGAGCTAGACCCAAAGGAGGCAAGCCACCTGCAGGAGGCCATGCAGAACCTAGAGGGAAGTGGAGGTTCCCTGCCATGTCTGAGTGGAGACCCGCTGCTGTCCTCTTAGAGCTGATGGGATCAGGGAGGAGACTACCTGGCCCAGTGCTGCAGAACTGGCTAAAACCAGCAAGCTTGGGCTTGGGCATGCTTCTGCTTCCTCCCAGGGTATGTTTGGGGAGAGGGTAGGATACAGGGTAGCTTGATTACAACATGGGAGGAGACACATACTCTTGCACCTGTTGGCCTCCTGGCCGCGGATTCCAAAGAAGCCGAGGGGACAGTCGTGCACACACTTGCCATACTGGCGGATACCTTCCCGGCGGATGAACAGGAAGAGCCTCTGCTGGCAGGTGGAACAGCCATTCTCCTCAGAGCATATGACACAGCCCGTGCAGTTGCCCCCCAGACCAGTGCCTGCTGCAGCCAGACCAGGTGGGGGAAAGACAGTCAAATCACACATGTGAGCTACTTAGATGGACTCATTGGGCTATTAGCTGAATACAATAGAAGACTACATTTCCAAGCATCCCTAACTACCTGCCTACTGGTGATCATGTGATCAAAGTCTGGCCAATTAGACATAGAAGTAGGCATTTATAGACTGCTGATATGACAGCAATCAACGTCTACTTTGCTCAGATACTACTACCTGTACTTCTCTACTATAGCACGTTTACTCTTTACCAAAGCAGTACTCTCTCTCTCTCCCTCTCTCCCTCTGTGTGTGTGTGTTGCACACAAGGGATGGGTGAGACATCGTCTTATTATCACCTTATTTCTAAGTTTCTGAGCAATACTCCGGTCCCCACTGTCACCATCACTAAAGTTCCTGCCACCACTGGGTTCAGGTGGTGGACGGGACGAAGGAGGGACACGGCTGCAAGGCTGAGAGCAGGTGAGCAGCACTCTGGGGCGGAGTCAGATGCTCCATGCCAAGGCTCGAAGGGAGATCTTTGCATTAGTGGGGCATTAGTCTTCATGCCCCAGCCCTGCAACCGTCTTTTCTTGCACCTCTCTGAGGAGAGGAGCCTGGAAAAGTGGGGCAGAGAGTGGCAGCAGGAAGTCCATCAGATTTCATTGCAAGCATGAGGAGCTTGCAGCGAGGCAACCCACAGAGGAGCCAGGCCATAGGGTCTGGTTGTGTCTTGTAGAGGCAGGTGCCTAGAAGAGAGGGAACAGTGGAGACTACTGGGGACAGGTGGTGGGAAGAGTTAGAATTTGTACAGCAGTCACTAAGAAAGGACACGGAAGCTGCCCAGAAGGCATTGATTTGCTCTGTTTTTACACGTCGTTAAACCGGGGCATTGAGTAAACTGGCTCCCCACCCTGGCTGACCTGAGCCCATGGGGGCTCAGAAGAGGACATCCTTGGCTCTCCAGCACCCAGCCCTTCTGTCCCATCAGCGTGTATCTTCCCTCCGAGGCATGTCTTGTGTGTGAGGTGCCAGGACCTCCATAGAGTGGAAACTAGGGGCCGCCCCTCCTCCTGTCAGCAGAGGGCAGTCCTCACAAAGCCTGGAAGGTATCTCAGTACACAGAGAGGGACATGTGGGAACGTCCATGGTCTCTGCCCAAGACTTGCTGGGTTCCTGTCACTCTCTCCTATCTCCCAACCCAGAAACCATCCACTTCATCACCCTATTTCTGTTGCTTATACCCGAGGAGCTGACTGATGTGGGTGGCCCTCCCAGGGTCACACTGTAGCAGATGTGTGTCCTGTGACACACCCTGGGTACCGGGCAAGAGTGCCAGTGCTCCCGGTGTGGGTGCTCCCGGAAAAGGACATGCAGAAGTGGGACAGAAGAGTAAAGATGTGCGGTTTCCAAAGTTGCAGGCAGCTGACAGCCAAGAAAAGATGTAAAGCCATGAGAAGGCCCCAAACTAGAGAGAGCCACACCACCAGACCCAGATGGAGCTGGGTTCCTCCACTCACTCAGCAACACCTGCTCACGTTGGATGACACCAAAGACAGACAGGAATGAAAGGAAACGTCTCCTCCTGCCAGTGTAAGTCCTGGAGAACAATCTAACAGCATCCAGTATGTCTGAAGACATGCCTTCTCACAGTAGTTTGGGACCTGACCTCTCCCTCCAGAATAGCTATGTGACTGGTTACTTCCTTGTTGATGTTGAGGCAGGAGAGAGAAAATATGGGGACCCGAGAAGGGAAGGAAACCTCTCGCTCTGCAGTCTGGCTGCAGACTCACCGGCCGAGGAGCATCAATCTCCATATAATCACTGGCATCTACTCCAGGCCTTCTCTCCTTCTAGCTGGAAAGCTGAGATTTTCTAGGACTTCCCTGAGCAGCTCCAGTGGCTCGTGGTTTTACTTTGTCAGACTGTAATTGCACCTAAGGCACTCTAGAGACACCCCAGAATCTCAATGATCAAAAAAGGGACTAGCCATAGGGGAGGAACAGGTACCTTATGAACCCATTTAGCAGGGACTAGGGATATGGCTTAAGGGACAGGTGCAATAGCCATTGCAGTTTGTCTAACAGCCAATATTACTATTGATGACAGTAGCAAAGCAAGAGAACCTCAATTCAAATCATTAGTACCCACATAGAAGCCAGGACCAGCCAAGTAACTCCAGCATTGATAGGTGGAGACAGGTGGATCCCAGGAGCCTGATGGGCAGACAGCCTAGCTAATGATGAGCTCCAGGTTCAGTGAGGGACCCTGTTTCGTAAAGACAAAATGGAAGGTAATAGGGGGAAGATACCCAATGTTCTCTTTTGCCCCTGAATGGATGTGCATCACACATGCACAAATGAGAGAGAGAGAAAGCAATTTTATGAATTTTCAGAAGCCCCTAAAGTCCTTTACCTTGCTGCCATTAGGACACTTCAGTGTGATTCTTCTTTTAGAAGCACCCTACCTTGCAGTGCACTTGGGTGTGTCCTATCTTTCCCTAAGCACTTTCCTATTTTCAATGGACTCCACCTCTACTTGACGCTAGATTGTCCTGAACTGCTTTTCTGTGTTAAAATCCAGGGTCCGGTTTCATCGGAGTTGCGATTAAGGGGACTTCTCAAGCCCCAAGGATGGTTTAGGGAACTGTTCCTGCATCCCACAAAACTACAGGGACAACTGTAAGAGAGCAGAGGTTTATCTGAGCCTAGAGTTTTAGAGCAGTTTCATCCCTGATGGTGGAGAAATCACGGTGGAGCAGGGTAGCTCATGGCTGTGAGAGCATATGGAGGGGCTGTTCACATCACAGTAGGTCAGGGAGCACAGAGAGGGAGAAGAGCTTGGACTGGGGAAAATTTTCAAACGCTGCCTTTAGTGACAGACATCTCCCAGGCAGCCCCTGCCTCCTAACAGTTTTAGTCTCTCAAAAGAGTTTCTAGGGCTATGGGACAGCATTCAAACCCCCAAACTGGGGGAGCTATTTCAGATCCAAATCATTACAGGAGGTCTAGGGTAAGGCTCAAGAATCTGCCAGGTATTGTGTCACTGCCAGTCACAGACTCACTTGGGAAACCACAAAACTAAGAAAGTCTTGCATATCTGTGCCAGGAGACCCTGCCAGAGAGGCTTAATAGCACACAGTCACAAAAGGGAACCCGCTTTGGGAAGAACAGATAAATACGTGGTGGTATAGTCATATGCCATAGTCACACACCACACACACACAACGAGGCCATGATAAACGGCTGAGGCAGAGTCGGTTACCATTGTGGATGCAGCTCAAAGCCAACGCTGAGAAGAAAGCAAGTTGTGTGATGAGTCATGTAGAAGTCACCATCTGTATCAAGTTCAACAGCAGAACCATATTTGTAGCATTGCTTATGTGTGAGGTATCTGAAGAATGATAGACATATAAGGGTGCACACACACTTCATTCAGTCTGGGGGCACTTCTGGGACAGAGGTGGGAGAAGGGTTGGGAAAGAAGACTTGGGACCTCATTCATATTTATCATGTCTGACTTCCTAAAATTTGATGCAAATGTGGACATGGGAAGATTTGGTCAAAATGGCTGATGAGGGTGGGTGGGTGGGAAGATGGCTCAGTCAGTAAGGTACTTGCCAAGAAAGCATGAGGACCTGAGTTTTGACCTCCAGCACCCACATAAACTACAGCCAGTTAGTGTAGAGTGTGGCTGTAATCCCAGTGCCAGGGACACATAGGCAGGGGAATTTCCTGGAGCTGACTAGCCAGTCTAGCCAAATTAGAGAGCTCTGGGTTCAGCAAGAGACCCTGATCAAAGCAAACAAACAAACAAACAAACAAACAAACAAGGGAAGACTGACTGAAGTAGACATCCAGTATTGACCTCTGGCCTCCACACGTTCATGCACATGTGTGCCTATAACATAAACATACATATACATACTGGAATATTTATTACATTAGCTTTTATTTTTTTTAGTATAGACTTGAAACAGTTCACCACAAAAATCCATTTAAAGAAAAACAAATTTAGCTTCTCTGGCATACCAGAGAAGGGGGAGACTACATTTTTTTTCTTAAAGGTTATTTTGTGTGTATCAGCATTTTGCCTGCATATATGTTTGTGCACCACTTGTATACTTTGTGCCCACTGAAGTCAGGAAAGGGCATCAGGTTCCCTGGGACTGGAGTTAGCAGATCGTCGTGAGCCTGCCATGGGTCTGTGATTGAACCAGGGTCCCCTAAAAGACTGGCCAATGATCTTAATCACTGAGTTTGTAGACCAAGATACCCTGATGTGGGGGTGTTGCTATTCTGCAGCCAAGGAAATCCAGGGAGGGAAAATAACATGCCCAGGGCAGTTCAGAATCAGGAGGCAGAGACCTCCTGCTGTCCTCCCAGAGTGCGGCTGCAGGGCTTGTCTGTGACAAGCACAGACTGAGCCACTTGACTTGGCTTCCATAGGACTCAACATAGCAGGAGTGGCAGGCACCACAAAAATAGTGCTGAAGCAGAAGACAAATGTGCCCGAGACCTGGGCAGAGCAAAACTGTCCCCAATGTCAAAGATCTTACAGATCACTCAGTCTGACACTTGTAGTTTAACCGGTGACTCTGAAACTAGAAGGGGCAGGGCCTTCCTCAATACTACAGAAACCCCCTACTGGAGCCACAACACCCTTTGGAGGATAATGACTGAAGAGTACTTTAGGAACCGTCGTCCCCTGACTTTGAGGGTCATGTAGGCACATGATGAGTGTGTGTGTGTGTGTGTGTGTGTGTGTGTGTGTGTGTGTGTGTGTGTGTGTGAGAGAGAGAGAGAGAGAGAGAGAGAGAGAGAGAATCGCGTGAGCCTCCCATCTTCAAAGGTAAAGGCTGTGGTCCAGTTTCTGGATGCATCCTTGACTTAGCAATTGGTTACAGTGCCCTCTATTTCTTCAAGGTTGTAACGACATCTTTTGAATTTTCATGGTTGGCCTTTATCACATCTTTATCATTAGAAAGAACAATGGGGCCCCCTCA